AGATAAATATAGTTAGGCTTGACGAAGGAGCTTGGGACGACCGCACTTCTTAATGCTTGCGACACAGGTCGGCTTCAAACATTGATGCATCTCGTGCGGTTTTACAAGTAGCATCCCCGGCATGATCTGTTAGGGGTAGAGGAACGACGGAATTGTAAACTTCGATTACTGAAAGAGATCCTTACAGCTCAAAATACACCTTGGTCATTTCAGTTAACCCCCTCGACGCAACATAAAAAGTCGCCACCTGCATGGGTCCCCTAACATGATTTGTGCAAAAGTACGCTTCGTAGAATTGGGCTGTAACCATCAACCATGCTAATATATGACGCAGGCTTGCCACAAAATGGCTACAACCCCTCCAGCAATGAAAGCCTGGTAAGAGGAAACAGGTAGGCCGGTGAGCTTGAATGAAGATCGAAGTCATGTATGTTTTGTGACATTTAAACTGTTGTGAGGTTTCTGCTGTGCGCTGGTGACCTTAAATGAAGGCCGAAGTCATGTGTGTTCTGTGACTCTTAAACTGTTGTGGGGTTTCCGCTGTGACGTCAGTCATCAGCCTTCAAAAGTACTTACTCATTGTATATAGACTAATGCCTCTATATATTACTGGTTGCATGGAACTGACGATTTTTCATATTAACATCGATGATTTCGTGGAATGCACATTCGAAAGACTTATGCCAACTTACATAGAAAACCTACCTGAAGAGAGGACTCTGGAATTGGTTTTCGGAATCTCTAAAATATCCTGCCGTGAGAATAACGTGTCAGCTGAAACTTCCTCTTCATGATGTCGGATGTGGTCAGTTGTTTTAAGTTGCCCTATTTGCCTTTAAGATTCCCTTCATAATTTGAGAACACTGACCAACCTGAAGCCTTCTGAAAACAAGAACTGTGTTCTTCTATTTAGATTGGCTATCTGTTGTTTTGCTACTGTACGACTGAAACACATGTTGAAAGATATTCAATCAATCACGATACTAGGTCACAGCTGTGCTTATTTCAGTGCTATCTGAAATGGAAGCCGGTGTATCACTGACAATAATATCATAAATCGAAATGTTTTGTTTCACGCGCTACTTACTCAGTAAACTTAAACTCCTCAAATTAAAACAAACATGTTTTCATAATGCGAATTGGTTACTATTCACAAAGAAACGAATTTGTGGAGTGGCGTTATGGTTATAGAAATGAAATCTCATCGGTTTACTCTTCTGGTAATGACTGTGATGCGTAAAATTAACTTTCCAGCTGATAGTATTGCCGGAGATAAATCATTGCTTCTGAACAATTATGCCGGACTTTCTTCACCGGAATTTTCCCACAATTATATTTGATAGCTCGGAGAAGCCATGGGAGACAATGTAGAAACAACTGCGCTTACTGCGGACGTTTAGAAACTGAGGCATCTTCCGCCGTGAATCTCGTGAATCAAAGGCTGTCCTGCTTTTCTTATAACTTGTATATATGAGGTATGAAATAACCATGACAAACATCTACAAGACAACAGCCATGTGATATCAAAGTCACTCATTTGCCCGATAACTAAGCCAAGTAAATTTATGATTGATGAACCTTTATATATATGGTGTCAACGTGAATGTAGACATCATGTATGGCCGGAGCGGTGAAATGACAACAGACAAAACAGGCACAAGTGTGAACAACCTATTGCCCTACGTTGTTAGCGCTCGCTAGCTGGAACAGTTTTTGCAAAAATTTACGAATGCACGCATGCTTGTCATTCCGTAATCCCAAGCATAGCACAATTGCAGGCCAAAATGATTGACACCACCAGTGTACTCTCCAAATACCACAGCATGTATGAGGACACTAATATAAAATTTACCCGATAGTAAAGACATTGTGTTTTAACTGACAATGCTGGATTTGTTTCATCCTGGTTTGGGAGCAAATCTATTTGCGCTGGTTTCAGTAAGTGGAAACACACCGTGTCGAATGCTCCGTCTACTGTTACAACCACTAGCCAGACGCCGCCCTATCAAACGATTTCGAGCAGCTCTCTGGAGTTTGCATCAGCGTTCAGTACACAGGCTTACAAACTAGGGAGCGGTTGGTTCTGTGTTTGCCGAGCTTCGCATCCGCAAAACAAACGATGTATAATTAGTATGTGGTAGCGCCAAAAGCGGTGATGCTACCACAGTTATCAACCGGTACCCGCTAAAATGCCACAACTTTAATTTGGGCTAAAGTATCATAAAGAAGCCCGTTCATGATTATCTGCCAGTTTATCCTTGGCGACATTAGGTCCGTGTGATCGCCGACTAGGTTAAGAATTTTTTTTCATTATCGTGGGACACAGATGGAAACCTCCGTTGACCTAACATGCCTAGACCTAGAGAATAAAATTTATTTTCGCGGGTGGCATCGTCATCAGCATAGATAAAAACACTCATTTCGGAGTGGGACTACTGCATGGTTGCCTACAACGAACTAGTTTTATCGCTCGGTGCAATGACCATTTCGCCTGCCATACAATATCCACTATTTCGCGTAGCGCTGGTTACCCTCGGGGAAAATGTATACGAAAATAAATAGGAAACATTAGGCTTACAACATGTTATTATATTAGATAACGCGAGCAACACTCCGTAAATTAGAATTGCAATATTACATGCCATACAAGCGCTAACAACCAGATGAAAAGTAAATTTTTGTGACCTAGGTGTCCAGTAAGCATTATACCGTTGGATTTTGGTTGAGCTCCAGTAAAATTGTTCCTATATGAAACACCGGGTATGAATACAAAGCAAGCGACTATCTCCTGATTCCAACTCAACAGGTGTTAGTTTTCCGCCTTTGAACGAGATGCAGCTGTGCCTGGACATTCAACTGGTGTGTTTAATACACAGATTATGAAGGACATATGGTAATGTTGGGGAATTCTGATCAAAATGAGACGAATTAAACTGTCGAATGAAATTACGTAAACTGCTTATCCGATTATCCTTAAGGCAAGCTACATGGCACAGCTCAAAACACATCTCGAAATTGAATAGCAAAGCGCAAGCCTGAAGTGACATCCGTGTTCCTTTCTTCAGGTTTTAGCGTGCTGAGTGCTCACGGAGCCCAAGAAATCAAATACAAAAGGGCAGTTTCACGCAAATTTTAAGCTTGTGTATGAAGTGGCTTTCAATGCAACCTACAACGTGGAGCTAAATCGGCCTAATAAAGCCGCCCTAGTGCAAGTCGCGTCTTTGCATGAGATTCTCAAACACCTCAAACACTGTGCTACAGGCTGATTCACCTAAGTGAACAATACAGTCCCCACGATAATGTACAAAGAAAGAAACCCTTCCATTTTCCCCTTAAAATCATACGCAATAGGTCTTCGTCAACTCAGTGCAGTTTTCTGTCATTTGATCAAGCCAAAATGCAGCAAACAAAAAAAAACAAAATGCACGTGGCCGAAATATCCGTGTTCTTTTCATGTATTTGTCCACGCAACTGCAAAGGTTTAGGCGCTTTGTGTTACTAAATGACATTCGCACAATAAAAGTTGCTTCACAGTTTTCCGGCCCATGGTTGTTCAGTCAGTTACCGCAAGCAATCTCAATGCTGAGTTGCAGCACAACAACACAACCTGCAGTGTACTGCGTATCATAGAACATGGGCTGAGTTCTTGTGGTCTTTGTTAATACATTTCGCTCGATGCTAAACATAGCCGATTAAGGCTGCCTAAATTTTTGGCATGGCCTGACAATGAAAAGATCCGATCTGAGGCCTGCCATATGAGAAGCACAATTAACCAGTGCGAAAAGTTCCTAAAATACCGAGGACTTTGATTGATTTTCCTTCACTTTATTCCGAATTTATTTCGGACTTACCAATCTGCATTCACCTCTGACATGAGGCATTCCACAACGGCTCTTAATTTTGTTCCAAGTGTTGATGACTTCAGTTTCTTAATCATCTCCGTACCAATTATTTTAGCTGTGGATTTGTGCATTGAATCGTGACCCAAATGTCTTCGTTTTATGTTAATTTGCCTACCTTTTCGGAAAACAAAATTTCGCGGCGTGTTATTGTGAAAACCCATGCATTCGGATTTGTACGGACAAACGAAAATCTGCTGTGACGTTGCATCTTATACCAGGTTGATAAACCCCGGGAAATTAAACGATCACATCGCAGATTTTCTGGAGTAGATGCGGCTACATTTTCACTGTGTTTCATTGTGCCCGGATGATCCGATATCTGATCAGGTTGTCAACGATTGGTAATTGCCCTTTCACCATAGCAACCGATCAATGTGCTCCTCAGATTAAATCTGACTGGATGATATTGTCAACCCTGTACGAAATAAAACTCAGCTTCAGAAAGCAAAGCCGCAATTTGGCAAATTCTGACTATGTGGTTCATTCTTGTCACATTTACGGGTTGTTTCCTGACCCGAGTTACATCACATCTGTGAGTAATTCTCGGTGCATAAAATACGTTTTTAGAATTTCAGAGCATACGGACAAAATCGAACGAAATGAGCGGGCAATGTTCAGAATCCCATTGTATCCTTGGGGTTCGGTAAGTATCGTAACGTTTCACATGGTTCAAATTTTTAGGCGCAATATTTATGCACAATCACGATTGAGCAAACTGTGTTTATACCAGTTCACCATCAATATGGGTACCTTCGGATCGCGTGGATAGAAACCTGTGGGTTGGCAAAAGTCTACTGAATATGGCACAGGCATCGTCGATTCTGGTCGGCAGAGATATCTTCTACCAGCGTTACGGGGCTGGCAATGTGGGTGGAGTGAAAGCAGCGGTTCACATGAATGCAGATCTGTCGCGTTTAATACTCCATAAATATTCTAGTTTGGTGGTATGCTTATTGGAAACGTACCGTTCGGCTTGGTGACGGCAGGTGATGAAAACGTGTATAATAATCCCTTTGACGGAGTTATCGGATTAGGGCGGTAGCCAATTATTCCAGAAAACACTAATCCCCTTCTTCATTCTTTAATCAACAAGGATTGATGAGTCGAAAATTTGGCTTCTATTTCCAGGAGTAAGTTGGACATCTGCCGCAGTCAAAACGATTCGTTATCGATAAAATGTTGACAGATATGTGTGACAGATATATGTGAATCAAAACAGTGTCATCGAAATTTCGAAATGTTCACAACCACATTTTGCTGTTATCTTCTGCAGTGGCGGCGCCACATTCGTGATGGGCGACAATCTCGAACAACTCATTACTGATCCTGTGACCTACATAAATGTCGCGCAGGGACCTTATTGGGAAACGAGGGTTAACTGGTAAGCAGGAGACATTTCCGAGTCACTTATATCAGCTGCCTGGGTGCGGAAATTACCTCCTAACTTTTGCATATCTTATAGGATATTCATTGATGATTCGGGATTTTGCACGGAAGACCATAGGATGCTTTTCGATACTGGCACAAACACAATCGATCTGCCTGGAGATATTCACATGACGATCAACAATGTTCTGGGTATCTGGAGGACAATGCACCACGTTTACGTGTTCGACTGTGAAAGGCTGCCTGATCTGCCTCCGATTACATTCCAAATACAAGGGAAAATGCTCCAAATCATGCCAAAACAGTACACAAAACAGGTAGATAATCGCTTTCACACATGCGACCAACCGATTGAACATTCAACGGTGATGATATGCAACCTACCCGACTTTAAATTTACAAGTGCATATGGTTACTCGCCGGCAGATCCTTTGAGAATGGGACTCGTATGAAAGACAAAAAATCATATCTACCTGAATTAGGCCTGGTTAATAAAAGTGATCCTATATCCTCCGTGCCTAATATGATCACAAAGATTCATTTAAATGTCTAACGCTGCTTCTGAGCTACGTTTATTTTTCGTCAGACTAAGCTAGTGATACGTTTATTTTTCGTCAGACTAAGCTAGTGTTTCTAGAGATTATAAAACTCAAACTTACGCGAGATACAACTAATTCAGTTAAATTGCAGCCAGAAAAATGGGTTTTCAAAAGCAAAATAAATTAGCGATTGCAACAGGCACCAAGTGACTAGTCTTCTCACGAGGATTTGTGAACACAGATTAGGCGTAAATATGGTGCGACATGGGGCCCGAAATCTTGCTTCATTTAGTTAAACAGCCCTAGTTATTTCGTGAATCAATTCGCCTGTCTAAAATGGACAGGTGTGCCCTGGTTCAACCACTGCTTTACTTCAATTTTGAGCATTTGGTTCAGTGGACTAATTTTATCTCTTTACAAAGCAGTCAACACCTAAGAGACAATGGTTGATATCCAAATTGATCACTATAGGATTACTTTTTAAAAATTAAATAGATAGCTAATGGGAACGATTATCGTTTAACGTTATATGTCGTTTATGTTTTTCGTACGTTTCTACAATTTTTATTTTATCATTGTATATTATATATATAAACTACTGTTGCATATATGTCTAAGTCAGTGAAATAAACTGAGCAGAAAGAAGATCTGTTATCGTTGATGTTGCTTACTTTGTTGGACAATGTTTCTACAGACAACCACCAATTACGACGTGTCGTGTTGCACTCGTTTTCAAAACACCACTCCCAACTGTTTTGTGGGCATCATACTGGGAATGTCATTCCTACATTCATTTCAACTGATCTTCGACGACCACGCGGGTACCGTTGGATTTTCCGCGCGTCCCGGAAGATCGTTCATTTCTTAAATATGTTTAAACACAACATAACTATCACGCAGTAATAAAAAACGACTTGAACAACACAAATATTATTCGTGCGTACTCCAATTTCTTTTCGTCACGATTCAGGAGGGAATAATTAAACTATAAAAGCTGTTTCCACTTGGGGGTCAAAATTATCTGTCAATTAAATTTTTCAAGTTTGGTTGCATTGTGCACACGGATTTTATTTGCCGTTCAGATAAGAACAGTGTATCCGTTCTAGATAGCCATGAGTACAAACTGCGATTCCCGCAGGTTCCCGTTTGGCACTAATGTTGGATCATTTGAAAGTAGTGCGCTTCGAGAAAGAGACCAACGCGGGAGCCACCAAGCGTTCGACGCCATACATTGTCCATCAACTTTTAGCTTGTGTTGCTTCCATCTTTCTCCTTCACTTATACTCAACAGCGGCCGTCACATCACTACGTGCACTTTGCATTTGCTGATGTGTTCAAAACGGAAGGCAACTAAAATCACCTTTGTGAAATTAGGATATGCATACATTTGGGGTATGCCAGGAAATCAGCGGACCCTAAGTGAGCCTTGTCAGTTGAATTCAAACAATGAAGTGAAAAAGTGCTACTCAGAGGCAACAAATGATGACGGTGCTGCCGCGTAATCCTTAGAAACATAAAAAACAGATTTGTTTTTTGAAAAAGTTTCTCAATCTCCTCAATTAGTCTTTAATGAACCGGGGTGTAATTCATTTGGAAAATATGAATTCATTTGTGCTAAATCCCACATTTATGTTATCTGCAACATAAGGCACTAAAATAAACCACAATTTAGCAGCCAATGAAAGAAACGCTCAGAGTTCAGCGATATTCCGAAGTCTTATATACATTATTCAATTTTAGCCCATTTGGAAAGCATTCTGACAATATTTAAATTACATAAAAACAATGAAGTCGAACTAACGATATTTGGTTGATGCTGGTCAGCTGATCGACACCGTAGACCTCAGGCTGAGGACTGTCACCAGAAAAACGAATAAAGTACACCTAAAATGGAAATATTAAGCAGCAGTGTCTGGACATCAGAAGGAGAATGAACGCCTAGAACACATTCTTGGAATTGCTGTTAATTAGAAAAACACAAAAAGGTATCAACTAAAAAGCTGCTTGCATCGATTGACCGTGGAATAACCTCTCCAACAAGCAAAGCCACATAAGGAATCGCTTCAAGTGGAATGAATTACGCCGCAACTCTACAGGGTCATGCCTACAGTCTATTCCCAAACAGTGTATGCCCGAAAAATGGTAGCAAGCGGGCCACACACATAAGTGCCAAATACTATGGAACTGACCGCGCGCTAGCGTAAAATAATCGCTTTCAAGATTACAAAATTGCTACATTGGGTGCAATCTCATCTACTATCGTTACATGACCAAAGAACTAAAAGAAATTCAAGCGCGAAACCGCACAATTCTGTTAGAGAGAAACAATGCAACGGAAAGCAAGGATGAAAATACCCCTTAAGCTTCAAAGCAAATAAAACACACGTGAAAACTAAGTCGGGATACCAGATAAATACGGAACAAATATTTTGTCAAACAATTCAGGTTATTCAATTGAACAGTGATTTTCTACACAAAACAGAAACGGTAAAGTGGCTGGTGGAAACACAGATGTTCAACCGCAGAAAATAAACGTTTTTGAAGGACCGTATAAACATCGAGAGAGCAGACGGAAGACTGAAGCGAAACTGATGCCTCAATGACCAATTGATGTAAAGGAGCATTATATACAAAATCGAGCCATCCAGCAAAGAATGACTCCGGTTCCGCAGACTAAAACGAGGAAGAAAATAACCTATGGCTACACATCCGTTATCAGGCGTCCAGTCCACATGGTGCACACTAACTGTGCCCTAAAACCCACTGAAAACTACTTGAGATTATGACAACTGCCCGCTGGTTAGCTTGCTTCCCGCGTAATTGTTATCTCCGTCTGATTTGCTCGGCCGCATTTGCCGTTTACCCCGCAGTGTTGACCGCCAGTCCGATTGAATTGCAAGGCCAGTCACCGACCTGCTGACGCATGTTCCTCGTCTTCCCTGATACAGTTCGTCGTGATTTTCGTATGTTTGGACCATCAAGGGGTATCACGGGATAGGATCCGGAATGTGAAACCGCAACCCACAACACCCAGCCGGAATTCTGTGCTCCGCATTGCTGCACGCTGCTAATGGCAGTCCTCTGTGCCAGTCAGTAATACGCATGTGCACATTGTGGCGCCAGCAACGTAGGAAGCGACATTTCTTGACAAAGATGGGTATCAGAACCCCAGAAAAACAATATCAGCAAAACGGGAACACATTCGTGGGGCATTTAACCGCGCATGTTGACAAAATGCTAACGTCCTCTACTTGTTCTATTCTGGGATCAACCCAACCGCTTTCTAACCGATATTTGCACACTGTTGACATGGATGGTAAGCAAAAATTCGATTTGGTGTTCGTGATTTTATACCATCCTATAATTTAATCATATTATTGGGAGAATACGGTAGCCAAGGCGATCGTAGTCCTCGAACAGATGGTTTCATCTCAAATGGGACACATAACAAATATGAAAATTTCGGGTGTTAAACTCATCATCCATAAAAATCGAGCCATGCTTGAATAATTTTCGTCCAATAATAGATGCACCTAATGTCCGCAAATAGATGGTCATGATACTATCTTTGAATAGGGACTATCATATGATTAGTGTGCATAAGTTTCGAATCATGGTCATCAGCCAGCAACCACGGAGTTCATTTAATGATTTTGTTAATGAGTAAGCGTAAATGTAATCTACATTTAAGGATTGTCGCAATGCGAAGGCAGAAAAGTGAGTTACGTTATGTATCGGTCTTCTCCCAGTTGAAAACCTCACCGGACCTCAGTCTCAGCGCTGAAAGAATAACACAGGTTTTCCTGCAAACTGATTCCGGAGAGATCATGTGCCACATTCACACTGTCCAATTGAAAACATAAGGCTCTGCATTGTCACGGCGGAAAGTCTCACTGGACACTTTGTAATGACGATTTCACCGCCATTCTAATTAGTGCAAACACTTCGTAAATCGCTTGCAAAACGATCACACATATTACGCCTTGGCTTCCGGATATAGCACGCTGTTTGTAACATGCACGTCCACTCACATATCTACAACACTATCGCCTGAGCAAAATAAACAAAGGGAGCTGTGAATGTGGCTCCTGACTGGGTGTTATGGATTTCCCTTTTCGACCCTCCAAACATAGGAGTCCATTTGACAAGTAGTTTTGGGTGCCCTTCAAAGAGCTCGTTACACGGTTTTAGAGTATCGCCATGTTTATTATTCAAAAGTTTCGCATAACACAACACCCGCTTCTTAGACAGCTTTAGGTCAAACCACTTTGGTCTCATTTCCGCGTACCCTCCTTCCAGTTTTATTTCGAGGGCTTGTCGAGATCAAAACAGAGTATTTCATAATACATAGCATAAGAAATCCATGGTCCCGTCAGATATTCCACCAAATGGACCGTTCCTGAAATGATCCACAGACATAATGAAGCAGACGAATTTGTGGCAAGCCTTAGAGTAATTCTGTAGCGCGCCACGCACGAGATACATATGCGTTTATATATAACCGTTAGAGATAAATACGAATTCTTGATCACGGATTGCCTGTTACTAACAGTTATTTCTGCATTGGATTTTGCTGTGGTGTGTGGCTATTTATACGCTGCCATTGGTGAGTCTGGCGCCATTATTTTCCCCTGGCAGCAATTGCGAAAATGGCATGCCACATTTTGCCCCATCCCTCAGATTTTACGGAAGTCTTCGCCTGCCGAATAATCACAAATACATCCGAAGTATTTTCAACGAAGCGAGAGCGATGAGGAAGGATAGACGTAAGTTGACTTCGAACTCTGCAATGACGTGAATTAAGTGGGTTTCTTTCTTCACACTTTCTCAGCCCTTTAGCTTTCGCGAATTACAGTTTTAGCAAACGCTTCTAATATATGCATGGTGGAGGTCAGTTTGGCATTAAATGACTTTATTGAGAAGTTTAGTCCATCAGACTGGGCTCAGAATCCGATAGTTGCCCCCAAGCACGTGATATGGATTTCTTCAATATGGTTGGGAGTTTCTGTTTCGGGCATCAACCCAGAGAGAGTGCCTCGGAGGAACCGCTCACATAGGATGAAACCATTGATGCCGTTGGGCCATGAAAGTGTATGTGGAACACTCTCCAGAATTCTGCCACTGGAGACTCACTTTTTTCGATGGCATGGCCGTCGGCCGTGAGCTTAGAGCCTATCCGCCTTATTATGGCAACTACTGGCGAAATGAGGAACGGCGGATCTAGGAGCTTAGGACGCGAGCGGAACTCTATCTTTACCAACGCGTTATCATATACATGAAAGGAAGAACAAACTGGGTTGAAAACGTTCACAAGTATTTTGCACTATTCTCTGACTAACAAATTTTCTGTCGACGGTTGTAAGAATATCCCAGCTAGTGATTGTGATACCTCGCTTGTCTCATCTTGTCAAGTTTTCTTTGTAAATTAATAGTTCACGAATGACAACCAAGCACAAACGATATGGCAATGTCCAAAAAACTCAGGCACGAAGATTTACCGCCAATCAGCCACAGGGTATTTCCCATAATACGTAATAACTACGACTAGATTGGTTTATTGGATTCTCGTTCGCCATAAACGAAGCACCGGTTCTGCGATAGGTAAAGGCAGAATGCTACCGTCCTAAATAACCTGGAGCATAAACTGCTACTTAAGCGATTCACACAGAGTCCTGCTTGGTAATGTTGCGACCTGATAGCACGGATGGTTTCCATCAATTTCAAATTTCGTATTCGAAAACAATTACTGATGTCCACAAGTACACTTCCGGTTTGCATATAAGTTTTACTGGTTCCCGTAATGGGTCCAGAAATTTGGCTGGATTGTTGAGCTTTATGAGGATTCAAAATCATTTCAGTCCAGACGTC